GGCCTCGTCGTCCTTGTGTGGGTGGTCGGGTTTTTTCCTTGGCGTGGGTACGCCTTTTCTCTTCGTTTATGACAGCACGGCCCGATGAGTCTGACCCTTTCGGCAGGCTTCCGTGTGTTACCCCACATCTGGGGCGAGGCCGTCGGTCGTCCTGGCGCTGGCTGCACCAGGGGCTGCGGGCTCGTCGTCCTTTTGTGGGTGGTCGTTTTGTGTTCTTTGGAGCCTTGTTTGTGTGCTGTCTCGTTGTGCGTGCGTCCGTCGTGCACGCGTGTCAGGCACCCCGCTTCAGGGGGAAGGTACGAGCACATCTTGGGTGCACTTCTTTCCTTCTCCGAGCACGGGGGTGGCCCCATCCCGACTGTGGTTCGGGTTTAGGTGTTGCCGCGGCCTTGAGCCTGGGGCTCTTGGCCCCAACATCTCTCCGTAGTGTGCGTTGGGCGGGCGTCCTCGTGCGTATGTGCGTTCGCTCGCCCCACTTTCTCGGCCCTCCGCCGCTGGGGGCTATCTGGCTTTCGTGGCGAGGCGCTGTCTCGACTGTAGTCCCTCTTGCACAGCCGAGGGCAGTCGGTACGAGATGGCCTTTCCATTTGCAGGACCCCTGCATTTGGTTTGTCTTTGCGCTTGCAGCTCGGCGTCCGTCTTTGCCCTGTGTGCCTGCCCCTCTCTTAGAGATGTTGCGGCAGGTGCACATTGTGCTGTTTCGCCAGGACGCAGAGACCCTTTCGGTCTCTCGAGCTCACTTTCGCTGATGACTCAGACTTTTTGTCTGTGTCAGGGAGCCAGCATCACCCTCCGCTGCTGGCTCGCTACCTTGGTCAGTCCAAAGCTTTGGAGGCGTTTGCGTTGATGTCAAAAAAACACACTGGGCTTATGTTCTAGGAGCGATGCTTTTGTTACAAGAACATGTTTGGGGTTTGGGGCCGCCTTCCGGGAGGCCCTTGCCGTCAAAGGGCCACTCTGGCTGACTCAAGCGGTGGCGAAGCGTCCTGGCTTGCCTATGGGCCCACCAAAAATTGTTCTGATAATTAACGGGCGAAGAACGGTATAAGATCAACTCGGCGGGGGCGCCTGCCCCAGGGCGGCTAGAAAGATTGTACCCTTACGGCGGCACGTCAAGATATAAACTTTCCAGCCGCCCTGGGGCAGCGCACCCGGTGACGGAACAGCTTTGGTTATACCGTTCTTCGCCCGCTGGAAGAGCCCTGTTGTGGTCTGCACGCATTGTTCTTAGAACATGCCTGGCCCAGACTGCCCTGTTCTAACGCATCGGGCTTCTGCTCTAAGAGCGATGTTCTTGTTATGAGAACATGTTTGGGGGTCCAAGGGCATGTCGTTCGGGAGCGGCCAAGAGGGGGGTGTCCAAGAAGGGTGGGGGTGCAAATCATGACGGGCGGCATGTGCGCGGCCCAGCGGGGGGGCCAGGGACGTACTGAAATAAGAAGAGGCGCCATGAGATCTGGGGAAACATCTTGGCCCACGCCATGATATCCACCCCCCCCTAGTCATCACCCCCCTCTTTTCCGCCCCCGATTCGTGATAGGCCTATAGGAATGCCGGGGCGCTCGGTCCCTGCTCAAAGGGGAGTGGCCTCCCAGGCAGGTCAGAGGACAACAGGGGATATGTCGACCCCTACCCCAGGCTGTGGGAGAGGCTTTCGGATGGGCCAGAAATCTGGGGCCCAGTCCTGGGACACACGATGGGGGGGGCGTTGATCCTAGACAGGGGTGCGTCCGAACAGCCCCCCAGGGCTTCCCCCCTTTTCTGAGCGGCCAAACTTACCGGGCGGAACTCGGGGATTGGGGGAGAAAAATCGCCTGCGACGAGAGGCTCCTCCTCCTCCTCCTCCTCCTCCTCCTCCTCCTCCTCCTCCTTCTCCACCTCGCCACTTTCGAGGGTTGCTGGGGGCTCCAGAAGAGTACATATACGATAAGGATGCAATGGCATTAGAAGGGCATGTCGACTCTTTGCGAGCGGGGCGCGGCCAGCAGAAACGGCCAAGGATGAACCGAATGGGAAGGATATGGAGGGCTAACCTTGGGAAGTCGCTCATCCTTACTGTGCGGGTTGACCGTGGGTTCGCGTCGTGTCGACCGGCGGCGACCCCGCCGCCGGCGTTCAACGCTGAACGCCGCCGGCAACCCAGAATCGGCCGATGTTGAACGATCGTCCGATCATTCAAGGTTGGAGGATCCCCGCGGTGTCAGAAACCAACGCCGAGGTCGGCACGACACGAACCTGCTGTACCTGGAGGCTCTCGACGAGGCGCAGCTGATGGAAAATCTCCCTCCCCCTCATCATTATTTTCCCCCTCTCCTTTCCATTCCCCCTTCTCTTGAACCTCCTCATTCACGACCCCTCTCAAACGAACGGAGCCCAAAACGATAGTTCTCAGCATCGGACGAGCGGAACCAAATCTGCACCTTGGAAAGACGTTCCGCCGCATCCCGCGTGGTGGCCGCCGCGCTGGCGTGGCTGCCCGTCAGACCGTGATCTCATCACCCCCCCCGGCGGGCGTCAGGGACAGCTTGAGATTTTGCTTTACATTCATGTTTCCCGGCAACCATGTTGGGTAGCGTGTTGTACCCACCTGTGTGCCATATCTTGACTTACCCTCACGGTAATTCCAGGGCCGGCATGAGACTGGATCCCGACGACCTGTGGTGTTCAGTGGACAGCTCCGCTTGTGTGGCTGCCAGTCAGACAATGATGTCACCACTGCCGCAGGTGGGCCTCAGGGCTGGCGTGAAACTGGATGCCGATGACATGTGGTGGATCGCAGGGGACGGCTCGTGCTGGGGCCAGCCCTGCACAGCCTCTCTCAGGAAGTCGAGCTGCTCCGCGAAGTACTCCATGAAGATCTGCTGCTCCAGCATGACGGCAGCAACGTCCATCGTCTTGGCGCCTCCACGCAGGACCAGGCAGCCGGTGACAAACTCTTCGGCATCCACCCTGCCGTTCCCGTTGCGGTCGAGCAGGCGAAAGAGCCGCCCCGCATCTGCACCGCCAAGCTCGAGGTGATTAAAGAACGCCTGTACTTTTGGATCACCAATGTGTGTTTCGAAATCGTCCCACGTTATGGTTCCATCCCTGTTCTTGTCGGCTTCATTAAATACGCTGAGAAGCCTTTCCATGATTTTCTTCCGCTGTTCCAGCTGAATCTGGGTCTGCAAGTCGCGGTCACGCAAGGCAATCTTCATGGCGTTCTCAACAAATCCGCCACCCTGCCGTCGACACGCTAGGGCGCGTCAGAACGCCGCTTGGCTGCCTGATACGATTTCGGTATTTGTTTCGGATGCCCTCCTCGCAAGACTTCCACGACATCTCCCCCTAACAAAGTCCCAGCGCGCCCTTTGCGGCCCCAAGCAATGAAGCGCTGCCCCCCATCCAACCAAACAACGGTTCTACTGAGCCTGTTCGGGAATAGCTCGGTAGAACCATCCTGCATGGACTTCGATGCTGCAGCGCCAGGCTGCCAGGGTGGCGGCATTCGCCACAGGCATCTGGACACCCCAGTGACGACATTGAGCACCGCGAACGACGTAAGCGCGATGTACAGGATGTAGAAGATGTAAGGGTGCCACCCGATGCCGCTCATGGAGTCGGCGGCCTGACTCCAGTCCAGACCTACGCCACGAACATACATACACTGACACCCTCCGACGAATTGCGCATGTACTTCATGCAGGGTGGCGGTGTGTCAAGTCGCTGGCTCTCAGTGGCAATGCGTGAACCGCCGCCCTCCCCTGAGGCCCAGGAACAATCCATTGGAGCGTGTCTGTGTTCTGGCAGAGGTCAGAAAACCCACCCCCATAATAACCACCCCGACACGCGAAGTCGCCTCGTAAGAGCGAGGAAAGAAGGCATCGAAGTGGGCAGGGCCGTTTCATAAACACCCAGGGCAGTCTAGCAAACGCCAATTGTCTGGTCTGGGTGGTGTTTCATCCCTTGCTCTGTGGCGGAAGACCGTTCGTCACGGAGAGGAACAGGGTGTAAAGAGCCGTCCACAGGGACCCCCAGTAAGCACTCAGAGCCGCCACCTCGGGGCCCCGCAGCAGCTCGGCCTGCTCCGCCGCGCTCTTCCCGGCGAGCATGGCCGAGATGTGGTCCGCGGCGATCGTGCAGAAGATGGGGGACCCAAAAATATACACCACCACCACCACCACCACCACCACCACCACCACCACACCACCTCCCTCACCCCCTCCCTCTCAGAGGAAAGAGGAGAGGAAGAGGAGGGCAGAGGAGGGAGGAGGAATCGACGTGGTGGTGGTGTATACTGTTGGGGGGCCCCAGAAGAAGACGCCGAAGCACCACTGGATGAGCAGCAGCAGTATGCACGCCCAGCACAGCGGCGCCAGGCACACGAGCACCGACCGCACCATGATCCTGAGCTCGGAGAAGTGGTTCATCACCCGCACCTGGGGGGCAACGACAGCGGGGGGCTGGCACAGGGGAGTAAGCATCGACCTGGAATCGGCGAGACGCCGCCGACACATCTCGAGTAGGAGATCAAGTACAGAATTGACGTTACCACAGAGGTACTCGAATCGCCGAAGGAATACGCAGCAGTCCACGAACGTCTTGCTGCTTCCTTTCCAGATGCGCCGGGGCAAATCAGTTCTGTAGTTGATCCCCTGCTCAAAAATCGGCGACGGGCCCTCGGTGGCGAAACCGAACGCTCCTGGGAGGGGTGGGCCGCCGGGCCCTCCTCGACGATCCATGGGCCTTGTGTGGCCGCTGGGGGCCCCAAGAATATACACCGCCACCACGTCGATGCCTCCTCTCTCCTCTGTCCAGCGAGAGGGAGGGGGGAGGGAGGTGGTGGTGGTGGTGTGTACTTTTTTGCCCCCCCAGTCGATGCATCCCCCCCTGAGCCAACGTATCCTCCCTGACGTTGCCCCTGAGCACCACGCGCCCCAGGCGCATCAGCCGCAGCACGCGGACGACGCGCACGGCGTCGATGCCGGCCCCGCCGAGGGGCGCGGAGGACCCGAAGCCCTCGGCGGGGTCGCACTTGCCCTGCAGAACTATGCACCACTGCACGAGCTCCTCTGGAAACCGCGCGTATATACACAGAGGCATCAGGGCCCTATCCTATGGGGCCTCGCAGATACGCCACTGGGCAACGTATAGTGCATCATTCCCATGACGGCTCTCTGGGCGACAGGTGCTGACCCAGAAAGATATACACTGTGTTTGGGGCGCCGTTTGCCACTACGTGGCGAACAAGCATTACATAGTATAGTGGGCATGTTCCTGGCACCGATCCTCGAGGACACCACACCCGACGATCATGCTGTCGAACAGGTTCCAGCCCTTGTCCTTCCCCCGCAGGAACCTCCGGCCGAAGGCCCCCAATCGTAGAGCGAGCTCGACGACGAAGAAGACGCTGAAGCACAGGTTCACCAAGTGCCACGTCAAGTCGCAAGACGGATGCGGGTCGCGGACGCGAAGGTTCGCCTGGATACCCATGGTAAGCACGTTCGCGAGGATGACAGCCGCAGACAGCAGCTCGAACCTGGTGCTCTCGACGAGCCGCTGGATGCAATTCTTCTCCGTGCTTTGGTAGTCGTTCACCTTGTTCGTGATCTCCTCGAACGAGCGCCGCCCGGTGATACTCTTGCCCATGCCCAGCGCGTGGGATAGGCCCAGCTTGGCCTGCCTTGCGGGGACAGCAAGCGACCACTCACTACCCAATCGGAGAAAAACCCTGGGGGGTGTCTCGTGCATGCCAACACTCATCAGAACACCGGAACCAGCTTCGCAATGGTCGATGTGGACGCCCCAGGAGGCCAAACCGACCACAGCCCACAGCCAAAGATAGCTCGTGCCGAGGTCGGCGGCTCTCCCCCGAGGCGCCCCTCCAGAGAATTCCACCTGTGACTGCTGCTGTGGCTCTTTGCTGCGCCCGGATGCCTCTCCTTCTCTCTCTCCGCCTCCCTCTCGGAATCGGTGATGCCCACGACCTCGGGGGACGTATTGACCCGGTGCACTGCAAGCCCTGGTCAGTCGGGCCTTGCAGGATCCTGCACCTGCGGGATCCTGCAGGATCCTGCACCCAAGCCCGGGTCATTGCACCCATAACTCTGCAGGATCCTGCAAACTCCCGCGCTCTAACTGACCCCCGCTTGCATTGACCCCCATCCCTCCAGCCCCCGACGTCGTGATTTTTGTCACAACGTCGACCCCCAGAGCTCTCGACCCCTTCCCCAGGACCTGTGTGTCATCCTGAATCGTTTTCTGACGGCCCCGGGGGCCAGCAAGGGCCCCCGGGAGCTGACAATCGCGAAAAACCTCCCGCCGCGATTTTTGTCGCAGCGCGACGGGGGTCTGGGTCTCTGGAGCCCCGAGACCTCTGGGGCAACCCAGAGGTACCGATACCGCTACTCCCCAGACCTCTACCGGGGTGCGTTCTGACCAGAATTCCAAGGCGAATCCAGCGAAGGCGACGAGAGCCTCCGAGGAGGCCCCAAAAGGGGAAAACGAGGGAAGGGTAGCGGTATTCCACCTCCCCTGAACCTCATCGATGCCCAGCACCGACGCGCTGCAGCGGCTGCGCCGAGACGTGTACGTGGGCCGCGCCGAAGGGCGGCGCCTCGGGGCCTGCCGCTCCCCGTTGCTCTCGGAGCTGCCGCCGAGCGGCGGCAGGGGCCCCGCCTTGCGCCCGGCCTGGGCCAGGCTCTCGTCCTTCCGCGCCAGGGGGTGTAGCCCCGTCCCCCTCCTCCCTCTCCTCCTCCTCCTCCTCCTCCTCCTCCTCCTCCTCCTC